GTGCCAGGGTTGAGTGGAGGTGTTGGGGCTGGGTTGGAGTCCATGAGCTTGAAGGTCTCTTCCAACCCAGTGACTCTGGGAATTCTGTGACTGATGCTGTGATGAGGGGATGATGCTGTGCCCAGCAGGATGGTGCTGTGCTGGGCAGGATTCTGTTCTGCCCAGTGGGATGGTGCTGTGCTGAGGGGATGATGCTGCACTGAGCAGGATGGTGCTGTGCCCAGCGGGATGTCGCTGTGCTGAGCAGGATTATGCCACCTCAGCATTTGGACAGGCACTTCCACCTGGATTTTGGCAGCAGGGGAGGTTGCCGGGAGCCCACGGCAGGGGCCAACCCGCCCACCTCAGCCAGCAGAGAGCATTCATTTTGCTTTGTATCTCCTCAGTTTCCTCCCGCAATTTGCATTTCAAAGCCTCTCGTGTGCTGCCTGTGTCCCCAGACAGCCCTTGTGCAGCCACAGGAGCTCCAGGCCAAGGTGAGGGGCACTCACAACCTTCACAGACACAAATCCCTGCCAGGGACAGGCTGCATCCCCCAAGCCAGATCCCAGAGCCAGGCGTGGTGAGGCTCCAGCTGTAGCAGGAGAGTACTGGGGGAAGGACAGGGAGAAATTGGATTCAGAGGCAGCAAATGCAGCTCCCCAGAATGGATGTACATTTTCATTATACACTGAGTAATTGGTGGTAATACAAGAGATATGGGCAGTATCATTATAGACCAGGCTGTGCTGGAGATGGATTATCATCATCTGTCATTATCTGGGCTTCCTTGTGGCTGCTAAAATTGTAGAACATGATTTTAATAACCCTGGAAGGCAAGAATCATTTTTCTTTTGTCACTTAACAACTTGGCCTCATTCACTGATACCTTTAAATAAGAAGGGGGGATTAATTTCTAGTGGGATAAATGCAGACCTGGTTGTTTCCTCCTCTCCTCATTTGCAAAGGGGCCCCCTTCCATGCCTGACAGCTTTCAAGGAAATTGCAGATAATGGGGACAGGATGTCAGCGTGGAGCAGGGGGCACAGAATCACCCGGAGACAGGTGGTGGTGCTGACACAGTGCCAGCCCGGGGACCCTCGCCCTGTGCCCCCCAGGAAGGGCACTGATGGCACTGGGAACCACAGCCTGAGGCTCAGGGAGTCCTGCCCAGGAGATCTGGGCAGTCTCAGAGCCATCAGGGTGGTGCAGGCATCCCAGCCTTCAATCCCACCTCACAGGGCACAGACACGGAGCCAGGGGAGCTGTGTCACTCCTGACCCCCCTGGACACTGTCAGGCTCATTTGGGGATATTTCATCTGTCACTCCTCTTGGCCATGGAAAAAGCCAGCAGCAGGAGAGGGACAAATCAAATTACAAGGCAGCTAATGAAAATAATGGGGAATAAAGCACTTTTGGAGGCTGCTTGGTTGGATTCCTATTTCCCTGTGTCACTGGGTTCAAGCAGGGATGTTTATAACCTCACAAGGACATTTCATTGCCTTTGTGATTAGCTCAATTGAGCGTGGATTTTTTGCTCTCCCAGATCTCAGCCCCTGGAAGAGGAGAAGTGCCAGCTCCAAGTCACATTCCTGCCCCACAGCTCGAGCACCCAGAGCCCCCCTGTGCCTTCCAGGGGCCTGGCACTGGCAGCATGTCCCAGACTGACGTGGATGGGGAATGAAGGGGGTCTCCACAGCCCAGATGGGGGGTTCATACAGCAGGAGCAATGGGGAAGCACTTGGGAGAGCTTTGCCCCTTTTCCATGCAATGCTCCAGCCATGAGCAGCTGTCAGTGCCTGCCTGGGCTGGCAGCCCCTACCTGCAACTATTGACTCTGAGTAAATAATCCCCAGGTATCCTTTTCCTTTTCTCCTGATAAAAGCTGGGTTTTTTCTATTATTGTCAGAGGTGTTTATTAGAGCAGAAAAATAATAGTGCTTTGCTTGCAGCCTGATTGCTGGGAAGTGACGGGAGTGGCCCCAACAGCTGGGATCAGAGTCAGACCTGCTGCCTGGCACCACGGGCACAGCCAGGTGAGGGGCTGTGCTGGGGGGAGAGAAGCCCCTGCCCAGGTGGTTTGATGGGAGGCAGCACCAAAGGGAAATTTCTTTTCAGCAACAGCAGAAGGAGGAGATGCTTCACAAGTCTGAGCTCTGGAGTGACTCAGCAGAAAAGAGCAGGAATTTCCAGGAATATGAGGGGTGAGAGGCTGGTGCAGGGTCAGCCAAAGCTCTTGGGGAGGTTTCTCTGCCACAGACACCTGTGCAACAGAGGGAGGAATCTAAGGACAGGCAAGTTCTAGGTGGTCCCATGGAGGATCTCTCCCTCTTGCCCATCCACCCTATCAAACCACTCTACCCAGCTGGAGCTGCAGCCCCTTGGCACCACTTTGGCATCTCGCAGAGCAGAGATGAATAATGGCAGCACATCCCACCCCTCCTCCCCTCCCCATGCCCATCAGGGCCTCCCCGGATCTGCCACACAGAAATTAATCCTCCTGCCTCATTAATTGCAGGAATGTGCCGGGAGCTGTTCAAGGTCAGCCTCCAGGACCCCTGCCATCAATCCTCTCCAAATTGCCTCGCTGGGGAGGAGCTGGCAGTGGCACAGCAGGGACAGGCACTGGGGACATCTCTGGTGTTTGGGTGACCAGAGCCTGCAGACACAGGAGGGTCCTGCATGGGTGTCCCAGGAGTGGCTCCATGCTGGCAGGCTGCCCGTGTCCCCCTGATGATGCCGTTTGGAGCCAAAGATCCTCTCCTGACCATCTCTGCCCACTTGATGGGGAGCCCTCTGCTCCCTCCTCATTGCTGATGGCTGAGCAAGGGGGTAGTCTGAACTAATTGCATTGGGCACCAATTAACCAGCTCTCCTCACCCATTAGAGACTGCAGAAGATTTTGCACTTAGATCTTGCATCTTACATGACTGGCAATATTCTGTTTTTTTTAGGGAATGAAAAGAAGAAAGGGAAAATCCCTTTAGGGGAGCTGGGCTTTGCTGCCTGTGGAGCTGCTACACACCACGAATGTACTTTATTCTGTTTAAGAGCAATGATCCACCCAGCAGGGATGGAATCAGAGGCACTGGGAACAGAGAGGTTGCTGAGAGCTCCCAAGCACCGAATGTGGGGCTGCTGCCTGTGCACTGCAACCAGAGCTGCCCACAGGGTCTGGCCATGCCCAAGGGCTGCTGCCCAATGCCTCTGGACCCCATCCCACACACTGCAACCAGGAAAAACCCCGCAGCTCCTTCCCCTTTCCACCTTCCCCCTTGCCTGATGGCCTCAGGCTTGGGAGGCTCCTATGTCACAGACCGGGAGCCACGGCCCCACCACTCACCCCAAAACTGCTTCGTGAGCATCCACCCTCCCTCCAAACTGTGCTCACCTTGCTGTCCTGCACCATGGCCTGTGTCACCTGCACCGTGGGACCCTCGGGCACCCAGCTGGCTCTCACAGCCCGGCACCCCCCTCCCCACACATCCTCCTGCCCCAGCCCCTCTGCCAGGCTGGGGGACGCACGGCTCAGGATCCCTGCAGGGGTGGCACCCTGCACCCTGCCTCGTATTCCTGTCCCATGGCAGGGACGGGATCTGGGAGCTTGTGAGCGTGACTCAGAGCCGAAGGGGAACCGAGAGCGCTGACAGGGGGCACGTCTGCTCCATCCCCGCTCTGGGGCGGCTCTCCCGGCAGATTGGCACGCTCGGAGCCGCCTGGGACGAGCCTTTCCCAGCAGAGCAGGGCGAGGCGAGCCCGAGGACAGGCGTGCGCTGGTGAGGGATGCGAAGTGCCCTCCCCAGCCCCGACCCCAGCCTGCGGCGGGGCCCCACCGGCGGCGGGCGCTTGCCGGTGTCCAGCTGGGTGTTTGCAGCGCTGCGCCCTCGGTTCCCACGGAGATGCCCAGGTCACCATGGCTACCCACGGATTTTTTTCCTGCTCGGCTGGTAAACAGCCCGCACGGCACCGGCTTCCGTCCCGAAGAGCTGGGGGTTGCTACACCCCAGGGAAATGTTGCGAGGGCAGCTCCCCAGGCCCGGGCAGGCAGTGGGCATCGGCCCCGTGCCCCAGCCCAGGCTGCTGAGCCCTCACCGCACCCCTGCCAGCAGCCTGACCCGTTACAAGCAGGGCAGATTTGGGGGAAAGTGCCTTTACTTGCACTGTCGGGCTTGTGAGGTCAGTGATGAGAGGCCCAAGCCATCCCCTCCAGCTCTGCAGGAGGCAAAGCCAGATCTCCCCAGGCTGCTCTCCCACCACACCCTGCTCCCAGGGGGCTGCTCTGGCCCCCCAGATTTTGGCAGTGTGGGGCTATGGGAGCCCGGAGCGAGGAGAAACCCCGCCCCAAGGCAGAGTAAACAGCTCTTTGCACAACAGCCGCCGTGGTTGCGAAGGCTGTGAGTGTGGGAGGGTTGAGCAAACCTCTGTTTACCCCCATGCCAGCCCCGTCCCACCAGACACGGGATTCCCCGCCGGCGCTGTGTGCCAGCCTGGCACGGGTGGGCACAGCAGCTCGGCACGGCCCCAGGCAAGGAGCTGTGAAATAACACGGGTTAATGGTCAGCACTGGGAGATACTGGTGGGAACACCATGTCACGGGTTGCCCTCGGGCACCTTGTGGGCTGCTCACCCTGGGGCAAGCTGGACTGTGTGGACGTGGACACAGACACGAGTGTGGGGGTGTGAGCTGCTCCCAGACAGCATCACACAGCTGGGTTTGCCTCCTGCTCCTTGAGTTGCTCATTCCTTGGCCCATGGCCTGCTGCCACTTTCCCCAGCGTCCCTCTGCCTGTCCCCCAGCCCAGCCCGGTGGCCCCAGGGCAGTTGCAGTGAGGAGCTGTCTGTGCCCGGCTGTGCCAGGTCTGGCCCTGGCGGGCAGGGTGAGGCCGGGCGCTGCTCGGGGTGCCCGCGCCCCCGGGCTTTCCTGCCTGCGGCCAGCAAGGAGGGGGTCGCAGACTTCAGGGAAGTGTTTTGCAATCACCTTCTTCAGAGCGTCGCAGCAACTAACGGCCCTGGTTTTGAGGAACTAACGGGGAAAGCAGCATGTTAGCAAACACTCCGAGCACGGCCAGCCGCCGGCTGCCGCAGCCCCGCGCTCAGAGCGGGCGGTGAGCGCTGCCGGGCACACCGGACACAGGACAGGCAGGGATGGAGCCGAGGTAGGGATGGAGGTGGGGTAGGGGTGGGTCACTCAGGTCCCCCTGAGCAGCACCTGGTCTGCGGCTGCTGTGCCAGTCCCCAGCCTGGGACAGCCACACGTGCCAGGGGTGCCGCTGTCCCACTCCCACACTCGAGTGCTTTGTCTCCCTCTGGATGTTGGCGTGGGGGTGAGGAGCTGTGGGCACCCGGAGCTGGGCACAGTGTGGGCAGCCCCTCCTGGGCCACCAACGTGGCTGGGACCCATCCGGGGCAGAGGATCCGAGCAGGGGCAGAGGCAGCCACCGCTGCCAGGGCCATTCCCAGCAGCAGGCAGGGGACAGCCGGGAGGGGCGTGGGCAGGACCCCGCAGCCCGGCCAGTCCCGCTCTGCTGCTGTCGGTCATTCGCTTCCCTCTCCCAGTTTATCGCCCTCCGCCGCCCTCACCCGCCCTCAAACCGCAAATCTCTGCCCGGCAGCGGCTGGAGATAGTGGAGATAAAATCATCCCGTGCCTGCGGCCGGGCACAGGGCGCTGTGCCCGGGATGGGGCGCGGGGCCGGACGGTGGCGGCGGTGCGGGGGGACCCGCGTCCCGGGGTCTCTCCGCCGCGCTTCCCACTCCAGCGGCTGTGGCGGCGCGGGCGGCGAGCCGGGGGCGGAGGTGTCAGAAGGGCTGCGGGAAGGGCTGACGCTGACAGCGAAAGGACATTCTGCTCCAGCAAGAGCCGCTGACAATGGAGCCCGGCTCCTTCAGCCCACCTCGTCCCCAGCCCTTGCCGACCCCCAGGACAAGCCGCTTTCTCCGTTCCAGGTGATGCCAAAGCCACGGAGGAGACCATGGCCAGGCGCGGTGCTGGGACACCCTTCCTGCGGCAGCTCTCCCTGCTCCTGCTCCTCCACCTGGGCGGTGAGTGCGGGGTCCGTCCTGTCCTGTCGCACAGCCACACCATCCCCGGCAGCCTGTGCCCTGGCCGGGGCCCCGGGGCAGGCAGGAGCGGCAGGCACGGGCAGGATGGGGCCCGGCACGTGCCCGTGCCTTGCCCAACGCTCGGCTCTTCCTCTCCAGAGTGGGGGGCCCATCTAAGGGAAGAGGCTCGTCCCTATGTCCTGCCTGGGCGCTGAGGAGTTCAGATGGCTTTGTCACAGCAGTGCACAGGATGTAACATGTTTTTCCTGCCCACAGGGACACTGGGCTGCGCCTCGGTGACTGTGAGCCCCCCCATTGTGCCCCTGGGCTCGGCTGTCAGGGCATCCTGCACCGTCCAGAGAGAGCTCTGCCACGGCTTGGAGCAGGGGAGGGTCCGGATCAGCTGGATGCTGGACAACAAGCTCGTGGCTGGGAGCCAGCGCCAGGGTCCAGGGGGCACAGAGGTGTCCAACCTCACCCTGCCCCGCTTCAACCACACTCAGGCCAGGCTGTTCTGCTGTGTGGAGTGGAATGGGACCAGGCAGCGCGTTGGCATGGCCGAGATCAGGGCGGGCTGTAAGTCTGCTGCCACTACAGATCACCCTCTTTCCCAGCAGGGATGGGCACTTGCTTAGGCTCTTTCTCCCCCAGACCCTCCTGCAAAGCCTCTCAACCTCAGCTGCGTCCTGAACCTCGGTGACTACGGGCTGACGTGCCAATGGCAGCAGGGAACCGACAGCCACCTCCCCACCAGCGTCGTGCTGAAATGCACGGGGTAAGTCCCAGGACCATTGTCCCCTGCCAAACCCCACAGCAAGGACCCTGAGCCCACTGCCCCGTCTGCTGCAGGAGCAGAGCCCAGGCAGTGACGGGCTGCACCCCGCGAGGAGGGCACAGCCACTGCACGGTGCCACGCCGGCTGCTCCAGCTGTACCGGCAAATGGAGATCTGGGTGTCTGCCACCAACGCCCTGGGCACGGCCGAGTCCGAGCACCTCTGCATCGACCCCATGGACGTGGGTGAGTGACGGCGCACAGGGCAGGGGCCGGGGAAGCTCATCAGCCATGACAGGGGCATTAAAGTGACATTAAAGCACGTGGGGCCTCGAGGTGCCGCTTCATGGGCAGGTTCTGTGATGAATGTCCTGCCGGGATGAATCGGTGCCAGCGCTGCGCTGCAGAGCGAGCAGCACACACGGCGGGTTATGAGCTGCCAGTTGACCTGCTGTACTCCACAGCTCCTGCAGCAATTGATTACCCATTTATTCAGCAGCTCTATTAATAATGGATCCCGTGCCTATAAACTATTTATAAAAGGAGCCTTCCCAGACGGAGAGGCTTATCTGCCCTGATCTGGGGCTGGGGAAGGGCTGCCCAGGAACCAGCTGAGCTCTCCCATGGCTGTGCCACACTCTCAGCCCCGAGCAGACCCAAATGTGGGGTGTCCCAGGCACCAGGCCCCATGGAATCTGTTTTCTCTGCATAGGCATTAATGCAGAGCTGTGCTAGTGTTGCATTACTCCATCCCAAGCAGGGCCACACACTGGCTCCTGTCCCTTGCCACCAGCCATTCTCCTAAATGTTTTGGGGTGGTTTCCCCCATTTCTTGCTGTAGCACCCTGGCTGCAGCTCCTGGCATTAGCAACAGGCACATGTGAGGTCGTGGCTCTGAGCCCTGCCCACCACACACCTCTCAACTCTCCCCTGCCCTTCCTACAGCCAAGCTGGACCCCCCAACCCTGCAGAGCATCCAGTCCATCCCCTTCCAGACCGACTGCATTGCCCTGGCCTGGGATGTGGCGTGGGGCACAGAGCACATGGAGCTGCAGTGTGAGCTGCGCTACCGGGCACCCGAGGACCCTGCCTGGGCCCTGGTGAGTGCTGCTGGGGCAGGGGGACGGGGCAGGAGCCAGGACCCTCCCTCTGCTCCACGCAGTGGGAGAGGAAGGGTCCCTATGTAGTGGGACAGCAAAGTGTTCCCTGAGCCCACAGCAGGGCCAGCCCTGCCCGGGGCAGGAGCCAGCACAGCCCTCGTTTGGCTGCCACCAGGTCACGGGCATCATCGGGCAGGCCGGCACCGCGCAGCGCTGCGGCTTCCTCTTCGGCACGCAGTACCGCTTCCAGATGCGCTGCCGGCGGAGCTCAGCCTCGCCACTGGCCTCCTGGAGCGAGTGGAGCCCCAGCAGGAACTACACCACCCACGAGAAAGGTGAGTGTGAGGCACCCGGGGGGTGCCCTCTGCCCAAGGAGGCGGCACAGCACTGGGGACACATGGCACAGCACTGGGGACACATGGCATGGTGCTGGGGACACATGGCATGGTGCTGGAGACACATGGTACAGTGCTGGGGACACGGGGAACAATGCTGGGGACACAGGGAACAGTGCTGGGGACACATGGTACAGTGCTGGGGACACATGGCATGGTGCTGGCAACACAGGGAACAGTGCTGGGAACACAGAGCACAGCACTCGGGGCATAGGGCACAGTGCTGGGGACACGGGGCATAGCGCTGGGGACACGGGGCACAGCACTGGGGACACAGGGCACAGTGCTGGGGGCAGAGCCACATGGGCCCCTCTCAGCTTCTCCCGTCCCCCTCCCGTTGCAGCCCCCACAGGGAAGCTGGACGCGTGGTGGGGGTCTCAGCCGGCCGGGGGGCGGCTGGAGGTGCAGCTGCGCTGGAAGGTGAGCAGGGGGCGGGGGGCACAGCCTGAGATCCCCGCAGGGACTGACACCCACCCGCGCTGCCCACACCCAGGCCCCACGGCAGCAGGAGGCCAACGGGCGAGTGCTGGGCTACCGCGTCACCCTGAGCCCCCGGAGGAGGGGCAGGGACCCCCCCACCATCTGCAACACCACCCACACCCAGTGCAACTTCTCGGTGCCCGCGGCGACCAGGAGGGTCTATCTGTCAGCCTACAACGCTGCCGGCGAGTCGGCACCGACCGAGGTCATCCTCCTGGAGAGGACAGGTGAGGGCAGTGCCCGAAAGCTCCGCGTGTGCAAGCAGGCTGCACAGCCAGGGCAGGGAGAGGGCAGACTCCAAACCCGGGTGTAGAGGGGGAGAGGTGCTCCCCTCTCCCACCATCCCGGCTGCTTGTCCCACGCAGGTCAGCCCCTGGCGGGGCTCCGGGCCGTGCCCGGGGGCGAGCGCAGCCTCTGGGTGCACTGGGAGGCACCGCTGGCCCCGGTGGTCGCCTACGTGCTGGAGTGGCAGCGGGTGGCAGCAGAGCCTGGGCACTGCAGCGCCTGCTGGCAGATGGAGCGGGACAGGGCAGCCACCACAGCCCTCATCCAGGGTAAGGGGGGCTGCCAGGGGGCCCTGACCCTCTGGTCAGCTGTCCCAAAGGGTTGGCACCCATCCTGACCAAACCAGGACCCAGCCCTGCCCCCAGCCCACTCCCCACCTTCCCTGTTTCCTCTGGATCCACCCCCAGGTGGGTGGGGGGTGCCGTGGTGCTGGGGGGTCTCAGCAGTGCCTGAGCTCCTGGCCCCCTCTGCTCTCCATTGCAGATGGCATCGAGCCTTTCCAGCGCTACAACATCTCACTGTACCCCCTCTACGAGGGCACTGTCGGGGTGCCTGTCCACACCACAGCCTACTCCCAGCAGAAGGGTATGTGGGAAGGGTGCCCCACCACCAGGACTTTGCCCTCCCAAAAGGAGGAACCACCTCTTCCCCGTGTACCCCAAACCCAGGGGCTGTACCAGAGAGTTCAGCTTGGGGGGCTGGATTTGTCTCATCTCTGAGTGAGCTCTCAGACCCCTGCAGCATGGACAGGTCCTGATACCCACACCTTGGGAGTGGGACCCCCCCCATCAGTTCCCACCTGCAGCAGTGGCTCTGCTCAGCACTTGGTCCCCCCCTGTCCTGCTCTTTCCAGCACCATCCCATGCCCCCAAGCTTCACCTGAAGAGGATCAGCAAGTCAGAGGCCGAGCTGTGCTGGGAGCCACTGCCAGTGGAGATGCAGAACGGCTTCATCACCAGCTACACCATCTTCTGGGCCAGCAGCATCACCAACGTGGCCAGTGAGTCCTGCGTGCAGCACCACTGACCTGGCCCTCTGTCCCACCTCGATGTGCTGGGTGGAGATATCAGGAGTCCTCCTCAGAGAGGGTCAGGGGGTTCTGTGGGTCCCTCACAGGGCTCCCTGCCAGCAGAGACCTGGGGGCTGTGCAGGTGGGGGCATTCTGCCACACCAAGAGCCCCGTGTGTCCCCAGATGCCACCGTGAATCCTTCCCTCAGCTCCTTTGCCATCCGGGGGCTGAAGCCATCCACCCTGTACAAGGTGCACATCATGGCATCCACGGCTGCTGGCAGCACCAACGGCACCAGCCTGACTCTGGTGACCACAGTGCTGGGTAAGGGCTGCGGCCACCCGGGCGAGGGGGACATGGGAGGGGACCTGCAGCCCCTGGTCCTGCCCTGGCATCGTGGCACAGCACAGCTGGCAGTGCCCACTGCATCTCCCTGTGACCCTGTCTCTGTTCCCAGATGACAGCGAGATCCAGTTCCTCTTCCTGAGCCTGGGGCTGGTCTTTGTCGGGCTCATGGTGTTGCTCATCTGCTTCCAGAAGAACGAGCGGTGAGTAGCAGAGCCCTGCCCGGGCTGGGCTGCCGCTGCCGCAGGGTGGCCTTGGAGAGCTGACATCCCACCGGGAGCCAGTCCAGCACTGAGGTCACCCATTCCAGCCCTCCTGGCTGAGCCCCCTCACCCCCCTGGTCCCCAGGATGAAGGAGCAGCTCTGGCCCAGCGTCCCCGACCCCGCCAACAGCAGCCTGGGCAAGTGGGTGCCGGCAGCGGTGCCGCAGGTGAGACCGAGCGGCCGCTCCCCCAGTGCCCAGCCAGCGCCTGTCCCCCGGGAGGGACAGCAGGGACAGCTGGCACCGCCCGTGACCTCCCGCTGCTCCCCAGGAGCCGCTCCAGCTCCTCGCCGCGAGGGAGCCCGGCCCGGCCGCCATCTCCACGGTCACTGTGCTGGAAGGGGAACCGGGCAAGCAGCCGGGGAAGGAACCCCCCGCCCTGGCCGCCGCCCCCCCGGCGCTGCCGCGGCCCTACGTGCGGCAGGAGGGTCCCGGGGAGCCGGTGCAGTACGCGCGGGTGGGCGGCGCGGGGTACCGGGGGCAGCGGCTGCTCCCCGAGCCCGCTCCCCGCTTCTACGAGAACCTGCGGGGCCGCGGGGACGGCGGCGGCGGCGACTGGGGGTTCCTGGAGGAGCCCCCCGCCACCTTCCCGCTGCTGCAGGGGCTCCGCATCGGCGGGGCCGAGGAGCTGCACGAGTGCCGGGCGGACTAGCGCGGGATGCAGCCGGGCAGCGGGAGCCCCGGGCTGCGGGGTCCGCCCGTGGGGCTCCAGCCGCACCCCGGGGCGCTGCCCGGCTCCGCCGCGCTCCGTGTGCGTGTCCCCTCCCGACCGGCTGCCTCCGAAATAAACCGGGACGTGCTGAGAACAACCCGGGCGGCTCTGCGGGAAGGGAACGGGAACGGGGATGGGGACAGGACGGGGACCAGGATCGGACGAGGAAGGGGACGGGACCGAGACAGGGATGGAGATGATGGAAATCGTGGAGATGGAGATGAGATGGAGATGGAGAGGGACCGAGACGGGGACAGGACGGGAACCAGGAGCGGGACCGGACCAGGACAGGGGCGGGACAGAGACGGGGATGGAGATGGGGCTGGCGACACGGCGGGGATCGGGACTGGGACAAGGACCAGGACAGGTAGGGGGCGAAACCGAGACGGGGACGGAGATAGAGATAGAGATAGGGACGGGACCTGGATGGGGACGGGGACTGGGTCGAGGATGGGGATAGTTAGGGGACCGGGAGGAGTCCGGGACCGGGAGAGGAACGAAGACAACGAGGGGACCAGGATCCTGGACGGCCATCGACACGCTCGGCTTTCGCTCCCTCCGCTCTGTCTCGGCGCTCGGCAGTCGCGCCTGGGCAAGATGGCGGCGCCCATGGCGGCGTGTCGGTGAGCGCGGGCCATGCTGGCGCTGCTGGGCCGCGGCCTGGCCGGGCCGGCCCGCGCCGGGGCCGCCGTGCTGGGCAGGGCAGAGCTCGGTGAGGGGCACGGGGGGCTCGGGAGGCCGCGGGGAGGGAGGGTGGAAAGGGAAGCGGACCCCGCTGGAGGAATTGGGAGCGGCCGGGGCCGCGGTGGGGCCTGAGGGTGCGGGGAAAGGGCGATCTCGGGCTGGCCGGGGACACTCAGGAGCCACACACCGGGCTCGTGGTGTGTCCCCCTGAAACGAGACAGGGCACCGGGTGACCTTGGGGGTTCCCGGGTGCGGGCAGGAGGCCGGGGGTCCCTCGGGACAGCGGGGCCGAGCCGGGGTGGCCGAGCCGGGCCGGGCACAGGCGAGTGGCCTGAAGCAGGTCCTGATCCCAGCAGCAGGGCCCTGGAAAAGCAGCTGGAAGGGTTTGTTCTTGAAAGGTCAAAGAATGACAGAGTGCCGGCTGGTGGCGAATATTCGCATCTGTGTCGCACAGAGGTTGTCCCCGGGTGTCACTGCCCCTGAGCCCTGACACTGCGGTGGCCCAGAGCAGCCCGGCCACGTCGCTAATGAGATTAATTAATCAGTTAATTCAGCAGTTTAAGCGCTCTAAATGAACACGTTTGCCCTCACACTGCTCAGACTGCAGTTGCTGCTCCAGCCCTGGCGTTTGCCCCTGTCAGGCAGCACAGCCTGGTTTGTGTGAGAGCCCCCCTGAGCCACCCCACACCCTCTGGGACAAAGATCTGCCTGGTCACTGAGCACCCGGAGGCTCAGTGCTCTGACCACACACACCAAGCAGCATTTGATGTACAGAGCTGGAGGAGTGCACACCTGCCTGAATCCTTTCTGTTTCTCCCACCCAGGCTGCAGTCCTGTGCTCCAGGCAGCCAGGGGCTATGCCAGACCTGTGACAAAGAAGAGGAAAGGTATGTCAGATCCACAGGAGCGTGTTTTGCTGTTGGCATGCTCGGAGCTGTACCCTCATGGCACAGAAATCATTCCAGAAATAGTTCCTTGCCAGCTCAGGAGTTACTATGAAGATTCCCCTCTTTTTCAATGTGGGGGAAATGAACAATTGTCAGTAGGAGGAGATCTGTGAGGGTGGGCAGGCCCTGGCACAGGGTGCCCAGAGCAGCTGTGGCTGCCCCTGGATCCCTGAAGGTGTCCAAGGCCAGGCTGGACAGGGCTTGGAGCACCCTGGGATAGTTCAGTGTCCCTGCCCATGGCAGGGGGTGGAATCAGATAGGCTTTAAGGTCCCTCAGCATCTCTGCCCATGGCAGGGGGTGGAATCAGATAGGCTTTAAGGTCCCTTCCAGCACTTTTTTTCCAAACTCTTTTGGTATTCTGTGATCTCTGAGCTCAGTGGATTATTGTAAATACATGTACACCATACTGTAAATCCAGAGCTGAAGGGAAGAGACTGAAGCTATTTTTTTCACTCAGTTCCTGCCCTCTTGGCTGGATCTGCTTAATTCTTTTTGTTTGGAGCACACAGCCAGTGTCCTTCAGAACATGCCAGAGCTCTGACTTTGTCCTGCTCTTCCTGCAATGTTTCTCTCTCTGTAGACATCCCCAGCCATCTGGATGACCTTCCTCCCACCATGCTGAAGAAGGATTATGCCAATCTCCCAGTCATGAGCAGGTATGGACAGGGAGTGGCTGCTCTCTCCAGGGGTTTGCACCTGACACATAAGGTGTGTGGAAGCTGTCACCTGCTCACTAATTACTTATTAATGCTCTGTGGGCACAAAAATGGCAAAGTCAGTTTGAAATCAAATTTACAGACACAGACAGCGCTCAGGGCTTGATTGTTCACTCCATGTGAGATCAAGTGCTGGTTGCCAACATCCAATATCCTCTGTGGGCTTTGTAGCCCATAAGAAAAAATAGAAAAAAAACCAGGAAATAATCTTGAAATACTAGAAACAGTCATCTTGCAAATAATCTGTGCCTGTCCTGAACTCAGGTGATGGAGAGAGTCATTAAACAGCTCCACTTGAATTCAGCTGCTGCCAGATTTGAGCTCTGGGGCTCAGCACTGTTGTGCTCTGATGCAGAGCTGCTCATGTGTGGTGCAGGGAGGGCCCCCAGTGGCCCAACTGTGACTTTCACTGCTCCCTAGAGGAACCAGCCTTAAAGTTAAATATTTTTGCAGCAAAACTACTCCATACTCCTGTAATCTGAGCCATGATTTTGCTTAGGAAAGTGAGCACCAGTTTATGGCTGCCAGGTTTGGCAGGAGGAGAATCCCTGTAAATTTGTAGACTAAATTAAAGCTGAGAAAAGTGAGTATGTTCTGAGAACCTGAGTTTATTTCTGTTGTTACATAGACTTGTTTCTGGTTTATAAGCTAATTTGCCATCCCTTGCAGCGTGGATGATGTGGTGAAACGGCTGCTGTCCCTGGAAATGGCAAGTCAGGTCAGTGTCATTCTGCTTGCTTGAAAATAAAACAGATTTAATGAACACCTTCATGTGAGGCTTGTCTATGTTGTTAAATGCTTTCACTTACTGTATCTGGAAGTGACAGTAAACATGGGTTGATGAAATACAGTGATAAATCTGGTTTGCTCTTAAAATTTATCACACTAAAGTAGTAACAATTGCATATTAAATGGAGAGAAGAAAGTATTCAGGGGTGACAGGGCAATGAGCTGTTCTGCTGCTGGTCCTGGCTGACCCCCTGTGTTCTAGCAACCATTGCACTGGACAGCAGATGTCCTTCAAGTTATTTTTACTTTCCATAGGCCCAGAAAACAAACAGGTAGGAAAGTGGCACAGGGATCTCTGTACCATTCCTCTGTGCTTGCCACTTCAGTTAAAAAAGATGTAAAAGCACTGAGTAAAGGTCTGAATTGCAAAGCCTTTAACTGGATGTTTGGGAAGGGAGCTGAGTGTTCTGGAACAGTGACAACCTCTTTTCTGTGCCCCACAGAGGGAGAAGCTGAAGGTAAAGACACAGCAGCTGGTGGAGAAGGTCAGGAGGTCTCCCAATGACAATGGCTCCTTTGAGGTGCAAGGCAAGTTAAAAAGGGAAGGGTATTGTTGGCAGATGAAACATCTCTGCTTCTCTTCAGCTGTTCCCACCCCAGCACTTCCAGTGTGCTGTAGAATTCAGGAGAATCTCCTCCAGGAGAGCTGCTGAGAGGCAGGCAGCCTGCAGGGTGCCCTGCAGGGCTGCTCCAGGTCTGGAAGTGTTGCAGAGGCTGCTGGGGTTCTTCCAAATTCCTGCTCCACATCCACCCTCCATAGGCAGTGTGTGCTTTATTCTGCTTGGTGTGCTTCTGAGAAGCACTGAGCTGCAGCTGATACCAAAATGAACCAAATTCAGCCACAGAACCCAAATTTTTCTCTGCATCAGAGAGCTGTGCCTGAGGCACAGTGGGGACAGTGCAGGGACAAAGGTCATGTTGTACTGACCACTCCTTTGTCATCAGCAAAGCCCTTCAGTGCCTCAGGATGCCACCAGCCCCTCCCTCCAGAGCCTGAAATCCCAAAGACCTGGCTGCTGCCTTTGGAAAAAACCCTTTATTGCTGTCTGCTCCTCCAGAGTTTAAATCCCATGAGGTGAAATAAATGTCAAATCACTGTGAACTGAATGTGTGCAAGAGGAATAGATTCACAGATAAATTTATATGATGTGTTGCTAAAACCTTACCCTCTAATTAAGCAGCCTCATAACAGTCACAACCCTGCAGGTTGTGTGTTCCTGTTTGTTGAGGACAGGGTTTTGCTGTGGGGAATGTCTGTTCTGCTGCTGTGGGCAGTGTTTGCTGTGGGCAGTGCTTGGTGAGGACAGTGTTTTGCTGTGGGCAGTGTTTTGCTGTGGACAGTGTTTGTTGTGCTGCTGTGGGCAGTGCTTGGTGTGTACAGTGTTTGGTTGAGGACTGTTTTGCTGTGGGCAGTGTTTGTTCTGCTGCTGTGGGCAGTGTTTGCTGTGGACATTGTTTTGCCATGGGCACTGTTTTGGGCACTGTTTTGCCATGGGCTGTGCTGCTGTGGGTCCCTGCAGGGGCAGCAGTGCTCAGCTGGCAGCTTGAGGCAAGGCAGAAGATCCTGGCTCACCTGGGAAAGCTGCTGCTCTCACACAGCTTCTCTCTGTCCTTCACAGTTGCTATTTTGACTGCCAAGATACGCACGCTCGAGGAGCACCTCCAGAGGCACCCCAAGGTAACTCAGGGATCTGAGCCCACAGCTGCTCAGGTGCTTTTCTCAGTTAATAACAAAAGGAGCTTAATCCTGGGGATTATGGCTTTCCTAAGGAGGTTTATGCAATGGTTACAGCTGCTCCCTGGTGCCAGTGTGGGGAGCTGCTGGCTCAGACACAGCTGGATTCTCGCCCGCTCTGCTCTGTGCTCTGGTTTGTTACTGTAGTGGAGGAAACAGCTGAGGAGATTCCTTTGGGCAAACTGGAGCTCCATTTCTCCTCACTGCGGATGTGGCTTCACTTCTTAGTTTTCACTAATTAATGAATGCAGCTGCAGTAATTAACAAGAGCAAAGTCTGTGCTTGTTCTGCTCGTGGAAAGGTTTGGTGGACAGCACTGTGTGAATGTCCCAGTCCCCTGCCTGCAGCTACCTGGGTTTAGGCCCAAATTTGAGACATCTTCCCTGAGTTTATGTTCATAAACCAGATATCCAAGATTCTTTATGCAGGGCAAAAGGTGGGAAATGGATTGATAACTGCATTTGAAATAAGTGCATAATTGTTACTCATGAAAACCTGGAGGGTACAAGAGAACAGAATTGAGCTTTTTACTGCAAGCCACCAGAAGCTGTACCAGGTGTTGAAGTTGGACCTTTTGGAATTTCTTGGCTGAATTTTTTACATAAATCACTTGTATAGGACAGGAAGATGTCTCCTGTGAGGGATTGCCCTGAGTGGTGTGGCTCAGGCTATGCTTGTGCCCTTCCGAAGAACAGCCGGACAGTCAGAGCCAAGTCACAGATTATTTTCATATTTATTTTCTGGCAAAACAAAGGCAAATGCTTCTGTTATTCTGAAGCAGCACCCTTCAAGAGAAGCAGGTTTTAGCCAGAATAATTTCCCTGCAGCTTTGGCACAGCCTGAATCTGTACACAAGCTGAGAACAGTCTTAAGGGAAGCTGAAGGTGCAGCCATGGAAGAGAGAAAGTAATTCCAGTACAAAGTAAATTACATCTCCTTGGATCAGCTTGTGCTGACCTGATGTACTCGCAGCATCTGCCAACAGATTTGTTCTAAGACTCTGTCCTTAACCTTATCATTGCCTTTCAGCCAAAATCTGCTCTGTTCTCAGTAATTTACTGGACAGGCAGGACAATCTGCTGTGGCATTCACATTTTCTGGAAAAATCCCTTTGCCCAGGATTTTTCTCTTGGGAAACTGAGAAGCCTCAGAGAAAAAGGAAAACATAATTATCTGATTTGCTTCTCCTGTGTTTTGCTCCTTTGGAATGTGTTTGGAGATTGTTTACCCACAAGTGATTGTTTCATTGGTGTCTGGTGTGAGTAGTTTTCACTCTTTGGCCAATCAAGGCCAAGCTGTGTCGGGACTCTGGAGAGAGTCACGAGTTTTCATTATTATCTTTTAGCCTTCTGTAAGTATCCTTTCTGTATTCTTTAGTATAGTATAATATAATATAGTATCACAAAATAATGAATTAGCCTTCTGACAGCATGGAATCAGATTCATCATTCCTTCCTCCATCTGGGGGCTGCACAAATACCATCATGTGCCTGCAGTGGAGTGAAGGCTGGGTGCCAATTCTTAAAGTTTGATAGAAGTTATGTCAGCCCAGCTCTTGGACTGTTTGCAGGTTGCTTTGCAATGGGAAGGAGTTTCCAGGAATAAATTTGTAAATCTTACGCAGACACAGCACGTGCAATTGTGTGAAATTCAAATAGTATGTATTTGTATGTAAACTTTGAGATAAGAAATATTTTTACAGTTTGATGCCTTAGGTTTGTAAATGCTAAATTTTAGTCCAATTAAATTACAACCAAAGGGCTGGACCAAAGGTGTCCAGGGAATGACTAGACATGGCAGTCAGTGCTCTGGCCTGGTTGACAAGGTGGGGATGGGTCACACGTTGGACTCTGTGGTCTCAGAAGTCTTTTCCAGCCCGAGTGATTCAGTGATTGACTGGGTGGCTGTAACAGAATAATCTCAGATGGTTCCCTGGAGCAAGGAAGGCACAGAGGGAGGATTTGATCTGGCTCCTGCTGGAACCACTTTGCCTGCAGCAGACAGCCTGGGCAGCAGCTCTGCAGGCAGCTTTATCTCTCTCCCTTCTCTTCCACAGGTGTTCCAGGAGAAGCAGAGACTGCAAGCAGCTGGGAGACTGAAGCAGAGGAGAGAGTGGCAGGCGAGAGCAAGGGCTGCACGGGAACAGCAGGAGAAGCAGGTGCAGGAGAAGGAGAAGCAGGCACAGGAGGGGACACCTGTGTAGTGGCACAGCCAGGCTGACAATAAACACCTGCCCAAAGGCCTGAAGCCTCTTTGCTCATGTGGTGTGGTCTGTGCTGTTCTGAGCACCTGGGAAGGGCAGCTGGTGGTTTGAGTGGTTTAGAAGTTTAATTTCAGGCCGAGTGCTGGGCAGGTCGGTCTGTGAGAGGAGCTGGGGCTCCAGCATTACCCTGCAGGCCTGTCAGTGGGCACAGCTCATGGGCTGCCTGTGCCCTGTCAGCACAGCCAGTCCAGAGGTTTGCACTGCCACATTTTCTTAGTTATTTATAAACTGAAACTTAAGACATTTAGATTGGACATTATGAATAAATTCTTCCGTGAGGGTGGAGAGGCCCTGGCACAGGGTGCCCAGAGAAGCTGTGGCTGCCCCTGGATCCCAAGGACAGGTTGGACAGGGCTTGGAGCAACCTGGGACAGTGGAATGTGTCCTTGCCCACGGCAGGGGTGGCACTGGATGAGCTATAAGGTCCTTTCCAATCTAAACCATTCTTCAATGCGCTGGGGCCGTGCTTGTGCACTGGGGTGATCCACACAGGGACTGGGATGGTGGCACAGGGACAATGCACACACATGCCAGGGATGATGCACACGGGGGTTGTGACAATGCACACACTCACACCGGGACTATGCACACTCACACCAGGATGATGCACACACGGATCGGGAGGGTGCACACATGGATCACCATGATGTGCACACTCACACGGGGATAATGGACACTCACATCGGGATAATGGACACTCACACGGGGATGATGGACACTCACACCGGGATAATGGACACTCACACCGGGACGATGCACACACTCAGATCGGGAGGATGCACACATGGATCACCATGATGTGCACGCTCACCGGGATGATGGACGCTCACACTGGGATGATGCACACTCGGACCGGGACAATGCACACTCACACCGGGAGGATGCACACATGGATCACCATGATGTGCACACTCACCAGGATAATGGACACTCACATTGGGATGATGCACACTCGGACCGGGACAATGCACACTCACACCGGGAGGATGCAGACATGAATTGGGATGATGCGCACACTCACACCGAAATGATGCGCACTCAGACCTGGACGATGCACACTCACACCGACACACTCACACCGAAACGATGCACACTCAGACCGGGATGATGTGCACACTCACATCGGGATGATGCACACATGGATCACGATGATGCGCACTCAGACCTGGACGATGCACACTCACACCGGGAGGATGCCCACTCACCCCGGGAGGATGGACACTCACACCGGGACGATGCCCACTCACACCGGGAGGATGCCCACTCACCCCGGGAGGATGGACACTCACACCGGGACGATGCCCACTCACACCGGGAGGATGCCCACTCACCCCGGGAGGATGGACACTCACACCGGGACGATGCCCACTCACACCGGGAGGATGCCCACTCACCCCGGGAGGATGGACACTCACACCGGGACGATGCCCACTCACACCGGGAGGATGCCCACTCACCCCGGGAGGATGGACACTCACACCGGGACGATGCCCACTCACACCGGGAGGATGCCCACTCACCCCGGGAGGATGGACACTCACACCGGGACGATGCCCACTCACACCGGGAGGATGCCCACTCACCCCGGGAGGATGGACACTCACACCGGGACGATGCCCACTCACACCGGGAGGATGCCCACTCACCCCGGGAGGATGGACACTCACACCGGGACGATGCCCACTCACACCGGGAGGATGCCCACTCACCCCGGGAGGATGGACACTCACACCGGGACGATGCCCACTCACACCGGGAGGATGCCCACTCACCCCGGGAGGATGGACACTCACACCGGGAGGATGCACACTCACACCGGCAGGACGCACACGTGGATCACCGTGATGCCCACTCACACCGGGAACTGCGCATGCGCGCCCCGCCGGCCAAGACGGCGCTCCCCGATTGGCCCCGCGGCTGCCCGGCAACGGCGGCGGCGGCGCGGGGAGCGGGGCCGGGCCGGGCCGTGCTGTGCTGTGCTGTGCTGGGCCGGGCTGGGCCGGGCCGTGCTGTGCTGTGCTGGGCCGGGCCGGGCCGGAGCCATGTCGGTGCGGACGCTGCCGCTGCTGTTCCTGAACCTGGGCGGGGAGATGCTCTACATCCTGGACCAGCGGCTGCGCGCCCAGAGCATCCCCGGCGAGAAGGCGCGCAAAGGTGAGCGCCGCGCGGGTCCCTCCGCGCCCGGTGCCCGCCGTGTCCCCGGGCACGGCTCTGCCCCCGCCGCCGCCTCCCCGAGAGCGGCTCGGGCTGCTCCGCCCGGCATTGCCACAGAATCACAGAGGAAAAGGCTGGAAAAGACCTTTAACATCACCCAGCCCAAGCCGTGCCCTGGCAGCTCCTCACAGCTAAACCGCGGCACTCAGTGCCACCTCCAGGGATGGTGACTCCACCCCTCCCTGGGCAGACCACTCCATTTCCCAGCCACTCTTTCAGAGAATAATTTTATTTTTTCTAATGTCCATCCTCGGCGCAGCTGAAGGCTGTGTGCTCTCCCTGCCAGCCGCGGCACCGGGACGCGCTGTGCTGGCACCGGGGGATGCTGCGGACTCACGGCCTCGGTTTCCCTGCCCCGATTTCGGTCGTGACCGCAGTAATTATCACAGAAATCAGCCCTCGGTGTTCTGCGCTCTGCCTGGGTTGATCAGCTCGGTGAGGTTCCTGTGCTGGGAACAGCCCGAGGGAATGCTGAGCTTGCTTTGGGAGGTCCTCAGCCAGGAGGAGAAAGTGGAGTCGGTGTTGGTGTTTCTGTGCTCAGTTCGGGGGTTAAAGCTTCAGAAATGCGCTTTTGGACTCAAAATAACCCAGGATTTGGTTATGTCAGCCCAGCTCCTGGGCTCTTTGGGGCAGGCCAGGTTGCTTTGCAATGGGAAGGAGTTTCCAGGAATAAATTTATAATTCTCGTGCAGAAATTCAAATACCACTACAGATCCTGAAACCCTTGTCTGGCTTTTATACAATCTCATTTGGCCAAAATCCTTGTCTCGTGTCTCCACGTGGGCCATGAAACTCCAGCTCCCAGCCAAGCACCTCTGCATTTAATACTTCAATTTTTTTTTGCTTTACAAGTCCTTGCACCTCTCTGTCAGGGCATGGGGAATGTGAGTGCCTCGAGAAGCTCTGTGGTGTTTTAATAAAAAATCAACTTGGTATGAGCTTGGTATTGTTATCCCTTCTGCCTGTCCTTTATGAAGTGCTAAACAACAAAGGGTTCACAGTGTAATTGTTGTATTGTTTGTGAGGGGGAAATTTGTAATTATTCATGTGTGTCCTGACAAGGGAATGATGTGACAGAAGTTTACTGCTGCTCATTCAGGGACAAGTTTAGGATTTTAGCTAAATTTAAATCTTGGTGGAGTATCTCAGCAGGAGAATTGGCCTGGTTTGGTTTGTCCACGCATGGATTTTTTTTTTCTTCCAAAAAATTGTGTGTTAATCTCAATGAGATGTGGTTCATCCACACTGAGGTGTTTGTTGATGCTTAAAGCTGTTCACTCAAATGTTGGTTACTTCTAAGTGCAAAATAGAGCTGAAAACTACCCAAGCTCATGCAAAGGATAAAATTTGATGTGCACTGAAGCAGCAGGATTTTATCCAAGGGGAGGGTGAGGTTCTTGTTCAGTGCTGAATGCTGATGAAGACAAGACAAAATCCATTAGTTAGCTTCTTTTTTTTTTTTTTTAAGTTTATTTCTTTCTATTTTCTTTTCTTCTCCTTGCAACTCTTGTTCTTACATCTTGAACTGCTGTTTTGTTTTATATGCTTCGTGTAGATGAATGGACAGATGTGGACAGGAAACGAGGTACAGTAACTGCTGGCTGCATGCACCAGTCCAACCCCACGTGCACACCTGGGGCTCATCGTGCCTGAACACCTGAGGCTGTCCCTGCAGCCTTCAGTCAGTGTCACAAATGAACAATAATGCTCACCTGCTCCTTAAATGCCCTTTTGACTGTAAATCAGTGAAAAAAAAACCAAAAAACAGACCGTATCTTAAAATCATATGGCTTCAAAAATCAGCTGTTAATTTAACCGAGAATATAAATGGAGCAAAGCTTTTTATCCTGGTGATCTTGCCTGCAAAAATGGTATTTGTGTTTCTTTACCACTGTTTTCATGCAAGCATGTAATTGTGTGAGCATTGTGCAGGTCGTTTTTCTGCTTAAACGCAGGAGTATTGAGTGTGTTCCATTTTCCAAGGTTTTATCTGATGCATTGCTCAGGGTTTGGACAGGTGAACTCCAGGGATGATCGAAGGCATTCCCATCCCAGCTGCTTTACCCACCTGTGCTGGTGGTCACACCTGGCAGAGCCATCCCAAAGGAGCAGGAGCCCACAGCTCAGCCAAGCTCATCCTGGCTGGAGGGATCCTGAGGGTGGGATCGAGCCCTGGGGTGTTTCCTCTGGGATCTGCCCTGGAACAGGAGCCTGCAGCGAGGGCAGTGCTAAGGAATGAGGAAATGAATCTCTTGGATCTCAGGTTTTTGCTCGGTGAGCACGAGCAGAACTTACAGGTCCTTCTGAGCAGCGCTTTTTTAAGAGGGATCAAGGCTGTGATTGGTGTTTTGCAAAATAAGCATCATTTGGGTAGGTTTTAATATTTACTGAAGGTAAATGCTGATGTCCTGGAGTCTGCCCCAGCTGTTTTCTTACCATTACACGCTGTTTCCAAGCACACCCTTTAACTCAGAAATCCAGGGACAGATTCCATCCCGTCCCAAGCAAGGAGGAGCTGCCCAGAGCTGGGAGGTAGGGACACAGGGCTGGCTCAGGGGCAGGTCCCAGGCTGACCCTTCCCTTCTCCTGAGAGAGAGAGCACTTTGCTCAGTGCTCCAGGGGATCTCAGCAGGGTTCTGATGTCACCCCTGGGCTGTCACGGATGGAGCAGTGACAAGGTCCCTGAGGAGCCCTGTGGCACTCAGGGTGACTGCCCAGAGCTCAGAGTGTTCCTTCTGCTGCCCCAAACATCCTCCAGAAGCACCAGCATCGCCCAGGCCAAGCTCCAGCCTCATGTCATGCATCCCAGCCATGCTGTCTGTCACCAGAGGCTTGGTGTGGGGAGGCCAGAGCCACCATCACCCCCAGCTTCCGCCCTGTCCATCACACTGGTTATACTGGTTTCCCTCCTCTCATCCCAGTTGATGACCTCCCTCTCTGCTCAGTTGCTTTTTCTGTGCTGCTTGTGCCATGTCCCTGGGCCAGTGCTCCTGTGTCACCTGCTATGGCCACTCCAGGGCCCCCTGAGACCTTGGCTGTGTCATTGTCAAACATGTGAGAGATTTATGATCAATTTGCCCTTTTCCGTGATTTTTTTTTTTTTTTTATGTCAGTTCTTTTTATAGCCCACACAAGAAGTTTTAATTTATGGCTGTGGTTTTTCTGTTGAAAAATCAGTGTACTGGGAGGTGTCTGTCTCCTGCTGGTTTGGGTTGTTTGTGGCTCTCCAAAGGCAGGAGAAGTCTTTCTGTGGGGCAGCACACACAAGCAGCTTAAAAATATTTTCCTTAATAGCAATATAAAGCAGAAGTTTTATTTTTGTCATAATTTATTCCCTGCAAAATTAACTAGATACTAGTATCTACTAGTATAATATATTTTTTTTTCCATGAAAAATAGAGGATTTCTGCCTGAGATTGCAATTAGAGATTGTTTTATGGCCAGTTTGTTTGAAAGGAAGGGAGGAAGGAGGGACTTTTTTCCCATTTGTAATTAGGTATATTCCTAGTTCAGACTGCTCAGGAGCTGAGGTCTGTCTGTGGTTTTGGGGTGTTTAAACCAGGATTAGGGAGCCCTGCCAGGTTCTGCAGAGGGGCTGCTGAGCTGTGTGTGAGCTGTGTGTGAGGAGCCTGTAACCAGCAGGTTTAGGGAGGAGAGGGAAGCACTTCAGGAGGCCTCTGCCCTTGGGAACAGAGCTCTCCCTGCCCAGGCTCCCAGCAGTCCCCAGGGAGTTCATCCTCTGGGAAATTACCTTTGTTTTGCCTGTTGGGGTAGGACAAGTGTGAAAAGCCAGGAGTCTGACCCCCCCAGGGAACCATTAGGGCAATAACTCAAACCATTGGTCACTGCCACTCTCTGTATGGTCACTTTTTCTTATTTTCTTTTTTTTTTTTTTTTTTTTTTTTTTTTTTTTTTTCTGAGATTTTTCTAATCCACAAGAATTGTCTGGCATTATGAGCTTTGTAAGACTCATCTGCTTAGGAAAATCCACACTTGTACAGTAATCTGTGACCTGATGTATTCATTTACCTTTTTTTGAGGAATAAATGTTTACTGATGATAACTCTTTAGAGTGTATCAGGGAGATAATAAAAGTGGCAGACCCAGCACAAAAGCTCAGGTGCTGCATCTGCTTGAAGCACTGCACAATGTTTTCCATCTTGTTTGCATTAGAAGCTCAATAACCAGAACACAGCCCTCACACTCAGCACTCCTGAGCTCTAACAACTCCTCAGTAATAAAACAGTTCCATGGCTAAATTTACACATTAAAATTAACCACAAGTAAGGAAATTTGGAGTTCTGCATTTGAAACTCTAGGGCCTGCAGATGTTTCAGCTGTGAGAGCCCTGAGTGGGTTGATATAGATCCCAGGGATATAAATGCTTTATTAAATACCTGCCAGCATTAATCTGATTGGAATAAAGATTACAGAGAGCCCTGCAGGAGCTTCTGTTGAGAGGTTAAAAAATAGACTGATGGTGTCAGAGGGTGTCGAGGAACAGGCACAGCAAAGATCTACCACAGTGCAAAACGCTCTCCTTAGGAAGCAGAACTGCAGCTTTGGTAGATAATAACACATCAGAGCAGTGTTACAACATCCACAACAAACAACATCATTTAAAAATGAAAAGTGCCAGCCATAGCTGTAAAACCAGGGCAACAAAGCCAGCCTTATTCCCACTGGCAAACAGGGCCTGCTGCCTTCAGCTCGGGTGGCATTTGTGCCCTGGGGGACATCAGGTGGCTGAGCCCAGGTGGGGCTGAGGCACAGCTGGATCCAGAGGTGCTGCTCCCCTGTCCTGCTGTGCACAGGTAACCCCGCTGTGCCCCTGGGATGGAGCAGGGACACGCTGTTCCAGAGCAAACCACAGAGCCTAAATTTGTCTTTGCAGTTATGAACGACATCATCAGCACCATGTTCAACAAGAAATTCATGGAGGAGCTGTTCAAACCGCAGGATCTGTACTCCAAGAAAGCCCTGCGCACCGTGTACGACCGGCTGGCCCACGCCTCCATCATGAGACTCAACCAGGCCAGCATGGACAAGGTGAGGGTCCTGCTGCCAGCCTGCCTCTGCTCACTCCCCAGCTGCCCTTCACCAGTTTCTGTTGCAGTATTTAACCCGTGGCTTTGCCATTATGAAGTATTTTGGAAAAGCTTTCCTTGTGAAAATGGTTCTCTGTCACATTTATGTTTTCTGAAAAATCCCTTCGCCCAGGATTTTTCTCCTGGGAAGATGAGAAGCCTCAGAGAAAAAGGAAAACAAATTCTTATCTCATTTGCTTCTCCTGTGTTTTGCTCAAATGTGGAATGTGTTTGGAGATTGTTTCATTGGTTTCATTTGAATTGTTTTCACTCATTGGCCAATTAGGGCCAAGCTGTGTCAAGGCTCTGGAAAGAGTCACGAGTTTTCATTAGTATCTTTTTAGCCTTCTGTAAGTATCCTTTCTGTATTCTTTAGTATAGTTTAGTATAGCATTCTTTAATATAATAAAATAATATATTAGCCTTCTGAGAACATGGAGTCAAATTCATCATTCCTGCCTTCGTCTGGGCACCCCACAAATACATTAATTCTTGGCCAAGGAAGTTTGTGGTGGTATCAGCTACTTCAGAACTATTTCTGCTTGAACAGCTACATGTCTGATTTGAACAAGTTCACTGAGCATTCCTTAAGTTTATAGGTGTTTTCATATGTATTAAAAAGATACACATGTATGGTATATGGGTGTGGATAAATTCTGTATTTCTGTACTGACACCCACTGTCTTGCAGGTGTTGGAGTTGTTGCCAACAAACAGTGTATCCACAGACAAATTTAGGGGAAAATTGTAGGAATGGGATTACCAGAGAGCCCTCCACCCAGGTGTCAGGGCTGCTGAAATTCATAGAATCGCTGGAGTTGGAAAAGCTCTCCAAGAGCGTCGAGTCCAAGCTGTGCCCAATGCCCACCTTGTCCCCCGCCCAGAGCACTCAGTGCCACCTCCAGTCATTCCTTGGACACCTCCAGGGATGGGGACTCCACCACCTCCCTGGGCAGCCCCTTCCAATGTTTAATCAACATTTCCATGCAGAAATTCCTGCTGATGTCCAACCTCCCCTGGCCAACCTGAGGCCGTTCCCTCTCCTCCTGTCCCTGTTCCCTGGGAGCAGACCCCAACCCACCCTGGCTGTCCCCTCCTGGCAGGGAGTTGTGCAGAGCCAGAAGGTCCCCCCGAGCCTCCTTTGCTCCAGGCTGAGCCCCCGAGCTGCTTCAGCTGCTCCAGCCCCTTCCCCAGCTCCGTTCCCTTCTCTGGACACGCTCCAGCCCCTCCATGTCCCTCTTGCACTGAGGGCTGAGAGCTGGACCCAGCACTCGAGCTGTGACCTCGCTGGGCACTGGTGGCATTGGAGACCCAGCTGGAAGGCTGGGGGTGGGACTGCAGGGTCTTGTTTTTTAGGAAAGGAAGCTGAAATGGTTCCTTGTGTCACAGGAAGGCGCTGGCCTGACTGAATCCCTCTCTCCATGAATCCCTCTCTCCATGCCCAGGAGGTTCCTCTCCACAGGCAGGCGCTGGCCTGACTGAATCCATCTCTCCATGAATCCCTCTCTCCATGAATCCCTCTCTCCATGCCCAGGAGGTTCCTCTGTGACAGGACCAACATTCCTGTGTTCCTTTGCAGCTCTACGACCTCATGACTATGGCCTTCAAATACCAAGTGCTGCTGTGCCCACGGCCCAGGGACATTCTGCTGGTCACCTTCAACCACCTGGATGCCATCAAGGATTTCATCTCCGACTCCCCTGGCATTCTGAACCAGGTGGATGAGACCTTCCGGCGGCTGATCGAGGTAAGAATCCTCAGATTCACTGTGGTTTGATTTTATGGGTTTTTTTACCTCTTAAGAGATGAATTACTACATTGGAGAGGGCTGTGAGTCAACTGGTATTTTTCTGCTGGCCCACTTTAAATCAATGTGTTGCTTATTCAGCTTGATTCAAGTCTCCACTGATTTCAGGAGAAATTAAATCAGACTTTTAGTGGCAGACAATAATTATTGATAATGACCAGCAGCCCCCTTAGAGCATCTCTGCTCCCCCTGAAAGTGGATCAGAATATTCAGCTGTACTTGCTTGTTCCCTCTTTTCCCTGGGTGGGACATGGCACACCTGTAAACCCTTGCATGATGATTTTCCTTTTCCAGACCTACAACTGTCTCTCTGATGGTGAATTCCAGCTCATCAGGCAAACACTTCTCATTTTCTTCCAGGACATGCACATCAGGGTAAGAGCCCAATCCAACTAGGCAGGGAGAATGACAGAGAGTTTGGGGCTGGAATATAAAAGGATCTGCTTATAAACACTGCAGGTTTGGGTTTGTTGTTTGTGCTTTTCAATCATCTTGATGTGCTTGTAATTGCAGTCAAATTTCACAAATTGAGCACATATACTGCAAATAATGCTGAATAATTCTACAATATGATGAAAAAAGGAATCTCTACTAGTGTGATTTGCTCTTTGATAAATCTGTTTTTCCTTTTAGAAGAAACTTGATAGGAAACCTGAGCATGAAATCTTGATGTTCTCTAAACAAATTGGTCACACTCACGTGCACGAACAGGATGTAGATTTTAATATAATTTTTTTAATGTTAGGTCAGTGTGCCCATCCTCTGGACCACAATTCCACATCACTGGCTTTGTAAATACATCCCTACACAGATCAAGAGCTCTGGGAGCCCTTCCCCAGCGCAGGCAGAGAGGCTCAAGCTCAGATTTCAGGGAATTTGGATGGGAAGGTCCATGGGGATTTCCCCAGGGTGTGATGTTTGTGATGTCCCTTTGCAGGTCTCCATCTTCCTGAAGGATAAAGTGCAAAACTCCAACGGTCGCTTCGTGCTGCCAGTCTCAGGGCCTGTCCCCTGGGGCACAGAGGTGCCAGGGCTCATCAGGTGAGCTGGTGCCACTGGGGGGCTGCCCAGGGAGCAGCATCTCATGCCACAGGGCTCAGGAATCCAGCTCAAACTGCCATTCCTGCTGCATGGATAGCTGAACCTGCAGTAAATACTATTTAAGAGACTACTATTATTATTATTATTATTATTATTATTATTATTATTATTATTATTGTTATTATACTTTATTTTATTTTTCTTATATTATATTATTATTACTATTTAGTACTATTTAAAGGGCAGAATTTGGGACTAAGTCACCCAGCAATGAAATGCTGAGCTGCTTTTGGGAGTTTTCTATCATAATAAATTAGCTAGCATTAATTTATCCCATAACAGTGGCATTTAGCAATGTACAGAACTATTAATATTATTAGTACACAGAATATTATTATTATACATAATATAATGTTATTATCATATAGAATTATTATTATTAGTAGTGGTAGTAATAATGAGAAATACTATTTAAAGGGCAGAATTTGGGACTAAGTCACCCAGCAATGAAATGCTGAGCTGCTTTTGGAGTTTTCTATCCCAATAAATTAGCTGTTAGTAATTTATCCCATAACAGAGGCATTTAGCAATGTACAGAATTATTATTATTCTTAGTAGTAGTATTTAACATTATTATACTTAATAAGTATTATTTATTTTATTAATTTTATTATTATTGTTATTGTTACTATACAGAATAGAGTTTTATTCCCCTCATGCAGAAAGCAGAGGAACTAGGTACTAAAATCAGGACTGAAGCCACTAAATGTTTCAATAATGCCTTGTTTTTAAGGATATTCAATCACAAAGGAGTGGAAGTTAAAAGGGCTGAGTTCACCACTGCTGGGAATTATGTTACTCCACAAAGGGAAGGATCTTTTGAGCTTTATGGAGACAGAGTCCTCAAACTTGGAACAAATATGTAAGTAATTTTTGTTCTGTGTAGAAACCTGAACCAAATGCTGATGGATTGGTCAGAAGCACATCTTCAGCCTGGTGTGGTTTTGGCTTCTTCTGTTATTAATTATCAGGTTGACTTTGTTACAAGGTGCTGTCCTGCACCAGGACATGTGTGGACGGTGTATAAAGAGCTGCAAAAACCAGCAAAACTTTGATTTATGTCCACAGTGGAGCTGAGGAAAGAGTGTTCTCACCTTGTGCTGCATCTCATGTGAAATGTGATTTAATGTAACCACAGTCAAGAAATCCTCTCTGTTCTCCTTGTTTGCCTTAATGTACATTTTCCATCCAATGAGATTTGTGTTTCTTCTCACAGCTTTGTCCCTCACACACCTTACTGCCTCCACACTCAGCTGCAACTTCTCATTGCATTTGTTCAGTCTTCAGGAAATTTTCCTAAAATTCTGTGCTCTCCCTCTGGTTGCTGTACCTGGTCCCAGAACAAGCTGTTCTCCCACGAGTGTTTTCCCTCCAGGTACAGCGTGACCCGGCCAGTGGAGACACACATGTCAGGCTCATCCAAAAACCTGGCATCCCAGGCAAAGGTCAGTGTTGTCTTCCTCCTGTCACTTAAACTAGCCAATTCTTATTCTACAGATATGGGATAAGGTCAGGGAAGCTTTTCTGGTGTTCCCAGAGCCTCATCCAATCCTCCCCAGTCCTTTGAAGCCAAGGCACGTTTTCCCAAAGAATCCACATGCTACTGCAAGGATGTGCTTGCTTCCATTTTAATCTCCTCAGAAAACAGAAAGTTGGCTTTACAGATTTCTCATCTGTCCAGTTTAGCTGGAAAAGTGTCTTGTGCTGAGTCTATAAATTCAAGCAACCATTTCCAGTATGGAGCTGGTGATTACTGTGGTTATCTGCCCAATCTGTCCCAGGAATAACAGGGAAAGAAACGTGTTTATATCCCTCTGAAGGACATGAATACAATATAGGAATATATGAAGGACATATACAGAATATCAAAGCTCCTTGCAGCCCCAGGTAATTGCCCAACGAGCCCATTGCTGTTTCCTGCAGGAGAACATAGCCCCCAACCCTCTTGCTAAAGAAGAGCTGAACTTTTTGGCCCGGCTGCTGGGAGGTTTGGACATCCAGAAACCCGCTGGTGGCGAGTCGGGATTTCGGCTGAACTTGTTCACCACCGACGAGGAGGAGGAGTACGCTGGAATCCTTCTGGGTTTGGGTTTGGGGTGCCCTGTGGGGAGCCCTGCAGAGCAAAGCTGGCCCTCGAGAGCTTTAGGGTCAGAGCAGTGTGTTGTTATCCTGCTCCAGGTGTCTCTGTGATGCAGCTTTTGTCCCAATGCCACTGGACAGAAATATGCCTCCAGCCAGTTTAGCAGGATGTTTCTGTCTGCGTGTTTCTGCTGCAGAAATATTCCTGCTCTTCTACACTTCAATATCTAGGACAGGGAGAAACCTCCAAACTGGGGTGAAAACATTAATTTGCCAAGTAGGAACAGAGACATTGCCAAACTTCATGGAATTTCAGAATGGTTTGGGTTGGAAGGGAGCTTAAGGGTCCTCTAATTCCACTCTGCCATGGAAGGGACACCTTCCAGTAAACCAGGCTGCTTCAAGCCCCATCCAGTCTGGCCCTGTGAGCATCCTCTGAGCATCATTTGTGCCTACAGGAGCCTGATGAGGTCTGATTTTTATCATTTCCTTATACATCTTCATGTGATTAACCACTCTTCTCATGTTTTTAATCAAGACACGCTGCACAGACCAGGCCAGAGGAGTTGTCCTACAAGGTTATCAACATTGAAGCCACACAGGTACGTGTGTGGAAGAGTACAGGTATGTTTCACATCACTGATTCTCACCATCCCTGCCTTACTAAGGACGATGTTTCACCCAGAGCAGGGACTTAAAAATACATTTTTTCCCATTTCAAAGCTCGTAACTAAGTAATTGCCAATTTTCTGCCAAGACAGTGGAATTGACGAACATTTACTAAGAAAACTTGAATCCTGACAAACACCAGAGCAAGTTTTTAGCGGACTTGGGTGAAGAAGGGGCACGTCCCAGGGCAGCCCGGCCCCGGGCGCGGTGGCAGCGGGGGCGCTGAGCGCGGTGTCTGTCCCGCAGGAGCCGGCGCGGCGGGCGGAGCTGTCCCGCATCCTGGGCGAGCTGGACGTGGCGGAGCCGCGCCCGGGCAGCGGCGAGAAGGGCGAGGACCTGCTGGCACTGATGGACGGGCTCTGAGCGGGACACGGGGACACCGGGACACGCGGACAGCGGGACGCTGGGACACACGGACAGCGGGACACACGGACAGCGGGGCATGGGAACATTGGAACACGCGGACACCGGGACATAGGGATATTGGGACACGCGGACAACGGGACATTGGGACACGCGGACAATGGGACATGCGGACAACGGGACATAGGGATATTGGGACACGCGGACAACGGGACATGGGTACAACTGGAGTTGGGGACATTGTGACACCGGGACACACCGACACCGAGACTTGGGGACATTGTGACACCGGGACACGCGGAAAAAGGGACACTGAGACACGCGGACAATGGGACACGCGGACACCGGGACATGGGTACAACTGGAGTTGGGGACATTGTGACACCGGGACACACGGACAATGGGACACGCGGACACCGGGACATGGGTACAACTGGAGTTGGGGACATTGTGACACCCGGACACACGGACACCGCGCGTGGCCGCCCCGCCCCTTCCAGCCTCAGGGGGGCGGGGCGAGGGGCGCGGCCGCGCGTGCGCGAGGGGCGGGGCGGCGCGGGCGAGCGCGCGGGAAGGCGGCGGCGGCGCGTGAGTGCGGGAGGGGGATGGGGACGGGGACAGCGGGGGGACCTGGGAGGGGACAGCGGGTGTGGAGGGGGGCTGAGGGCAGGGAGAGTGCGAGGGGAGGGTGGTACGTGTGCCAGGGGGGTGGGCGAGGAGAATGGGAGTGACTGGGGCGAGGGGCGGCGTGCGGGGAGTGTGCGAGGGATGCTGGAGTGCAGGGGAGTGCGAGGGGTGGTGTGAGAGCAGGTGAGTGTGCAGGTGGGTGTGAAAGGGGCCGTGTGTGTGCAGGTGGGTGTGAAAGGGGCCTGTGTGTGCAGGTGGGCGTGAAAGGGGCCGTGTGTGTGCAGGTGGGCGTGAAAGGGGCCGTGTGTGTGCAGGTGGGCGTGAAAGGGGCCGTGTGTGTGCAGGTGGGTGTGAAAGGGGCCGTGTGTGTGCGGGGGTGTGAAAGGGGCCGTGTGTGTGCGGGGGTGTGAAAGGGGCCGTGTGTGTGCAGGTGGGTGTGAAAGGGGCCGTGTGTGTGCAGGTGGGCGTGTGACCGGTGATAGGTGTGCAGGTGAGAGTGCGAGGGGCGATGTGTGTGTGCAGGTGAGGGTTGGTACAGTGAGCAGGTGTGTGTGTTCAGGGCTTGGTCCATGTTCAGGTGTGTGTGCAGGGCTTGGTCCATGGGCAGGTGAAAGTGCAGGGGCTCATCTGTGTTCAGGTGTGTGTGCAGGGGTTGGTCCGTGGGCAGGATTTGATCCATGCTCAGGTGTGAGTGCAGGGGCTCATCTGTGTTCAGGTGTGTGTGCAGGGGTTGGTCCGTGGGCAGGATTTGATCCATGCTCAGGTGTGTGTGCAGGGCTTGGCCCATGGACAGGAACTGCTCCCTGTGAGGCCCAGCAGGCGGCTGTCCCCAGCCCCTGTGCCCATCCCCTGTCCCGCCGCAGCCGCCATGGAGGTGAGCCACTCCCTGAAGGAGCGCACCATCGCCGAGAACAGCCTGGTGATCCTGCTGCAGGGCCTGCGCGGCCGCGTCACCACGGTGGAGCTGCGCGACGAGAGCGCGGCCGCGGGGCGCGTCACCAGCGTGGACGCCTTCATGAACGTGCGCCTGGCCGAGGTGACCTTCACGGACCGGCACGGCGCCGTGTCCCAGCTGGACGAGCTCTTTGTGACCGGCAGGAACATCCGCTACGTGCACATCCCCGACGAGGTGGACATCAGGGCCGCCATCGAGGAGCAGCTGCGGGCCATCCACAGGGTGCGCTACTTCGGGGGCCGCGACAAGGGCCGCAGCGAGTTCCCTCACGCCAAGCACAAGTGAGGGCCTGGTGCTGCCCACGGCCCAGGGTGGACGTGCCCCTTCGATGGACTGCCAGCTCCCTCTGTCCCACCCAACGACAGCCCCCAAGGAACATTTTCTGCCGGGGATTTGAGGGTCTGCTGTTCCCCCCACCTGCAGAGGAGCAGGACTGGTTTTTGTAGTGAATAACACCACTTAAAGGCTTTGTGGTCTCTCTGCTCATTTCCTGCTCCATTGGCAGCAGCTCATGTGCTTCCTCCAGTGGCCAAAAGACTCTTGGCTGGAGCTGCCATCCCACTGCCCCTGGCTCAGCCTTTCCGTGCCCACTGAGCAAAGGATTTGCTGTCACCAGCACGGCTACCCTGGAGCTGGAGCCGCTGGTGCTGAGCTGGGCAGGGGCTGGTTCTGGTTCTGGCTCATCTTCCTGCTGAGCCACCATTCTGGAAGTGTTCAGCGAGATGAAGGGGAGTGAACACACAGGGGAAGGGGCAGCACCGTCTGCCTCAAAAAGCAGGAATGTGCTTCACCCGGAACACAGAACGCTGGCTCTGCCAGCTCCTCTGCTTCCTGCCCCTCCATCACCAAACTCTGCGGTGCCACCAAAGTCTGCAGCCTGTTCCCACAGGGACCCCGTGGGACACGGAGCCGTGTGGCCTCTGCGAGCGCAGCTGGGGGCTGTGCCCTGGGGGTGCTTGTTTGCACGGGCCTGGGGCTGGGCGGCAGCGCAGGGGCTCAGCCCGGGGGGTTCCAACCCCGCCGGGCCCAGCCCGGGGCTGAGAGCGCGGGGATTTGGGGGTCCCAGCCCGGGGATCCCAGCCCAGGGTGCCCCAATCCGGGGGTCCAAACTCAGGGTGTTCCAACCCAGGGTGTCCCAGTGGGGGGGGTCCCAGTCCGGGGGTCCAAACCCAGGGTATCCCAACCCACCGTGCTCCAGTCCGGAGCTCCAAACTCAGGGGTCCCAGCCCAGGGTGCCCCAGTCCGGGGGTCCAAACTCAGAGGGTCCCAGCCCAGGGTCTCCCAGTCCGGGGGTCCAAACTCAGGGTCTCCCAGTCCGGGGGTCCCGGTGCCGCCGGGCGGGGCTGTGTGGGCGTGGCCCGCTGTGTCTGTGGGCGTGGTCGTCGCGGCAGGCCCCGCCCCTTGGCCAATCACGCCGCGTTCGAATCTCCCGCGAGCTCACCAACCCTGCGGGCTCCTGGCCCCAGCATGAGCCAGTCAGCGACGGGTTGATCGCACCACAGCCAATCAGCGCCCGCTGCTTGCTTCCCTCTCCGCTGCACGCCCCAACCAATCAGAGCCCGCTGCAAAACCCGGTCTGGCCCCCGGGCTCTCCTCCAATCACCGCCCGCGCTGTCGCCGTCGCCCAATCAGCGCCGCCGTTTCCCCGTTCCGGCGGCGGCCGGCAGGGGGCGGGCTGGCGGTGGGGGGCGGTGGCGGCGCGTCACTTCCGGTGCCAGGCGGCCGCCGGAGCGGAGCAAGGCCGGGCCGGGCCGGGCCGGGCCCGGGGCCATGGGTGAGTGAGGGGGGAGAGCGAGCCGGGGAACCGGGGCCGGGCCGGGGGGGGGCGTTTCCCCGTTCCGGCGGCGGCCGGCAGGGGGCGGGCTGGCGGTGGGGGGCGGTGGCGGCGCGTCACTTCCGGTGCCAGGCGGCCGCCGGAGCGGAGCAAGGCCGGGCCGGGCCGGGCCCGGGGCCATGGGTGAGTGAGGGGTGAGAGCGAGCCGGGGAACCGGGACCGGGCCGTGGGTGAGTGAGGGATGGGAGAGAGCGGGGGAACCGGGACCGGGCCGTGGGTGAGTGAGGGATGGGAGAGAGCGGGGGAACCGGGACCGGGCCGTGGGTGAGTGAGGGATGGGAGAGAGCGGGGGAACCGGGACCGGGCCGTGGGTGAGTGAGGGATGGGAGAGAGGGGGAACCGGGACCGGGCCACGGGTGAGTGAGGGGTGCGAGAGAGGGGGAACCGGGCTGGGCCAGGGGTGAGTGAGGGGGAACCGGGCCCGGGGCTATGGGTACGGGTTAGAGACGAGGGAGCTGGGGCTGTCGGTGAATGAGGGCGAAGCAGGGACAGGGTGGAGCGGGGGGGACATGGCCCCGGGACCCGTCCCCATCGCGGTCCCGCTGTGCCGGGCGCTGCGGGCAGACGCGCCGCTGGTACCGGTCGTCCGCCGGGCCTCGGTGGGACCGGGCCGGGGGAGCTCCCCGGTGCCGGCGGCTCGGGGAGCCTTGGCCGCCCGGCTCGGCTCGGTGCTACCGGTGCTCTTCAGGCTCGCGGCTCGGTTTGAGCCCCGCAGCAGCTCGGGGGGCTGGGGATGCCGCCAGCACCGAGGGGCTGAAGGAGACACAGCCCGTGACTGGGCTGGCTTTGCCTCCAGCCTGGGCAGGAATCTTTGAATTTAGACTTTTGGGACCTCTGTGCCGAGGAGGAGCCTCGTGTGCCTCAGCAGTGAGTAGGTGAGGGCTGTGCCTCGGAGTGAGGGTGAGTAACAGCAGCAGGTGTCAGAGCAGGGCCGGACCCTGCCCTGCACTCCCTGGTTGCTCACCCGAGGGGCTGGGGGACCTCCCACCCCCAGAGCCGGGTGCTGTCCCTCTCTGCTCGTGGCCTTTGGGAGCCCTGCTGCCTGTGCAGCACTGAGGGTGTGAAAGGTCTCACTGCTGGGGGGACCCCATGGGACATCATCTCCACCCCCTGCACAGGAGTTTAGGGTTGTGCCCATCCAGCTGCTCCCCACTGCCCAGGCTGTGCTGAAATGTGCTGCACCAGAGCTGGGGATTCAGTTCTTTGCTAGTTTAGAGCCTTAATGTGTGAGCTTAACATCTGGTGATGAACAGATGTGGTGGGTGTCTGGGGCTGCAATCCCCTGTCCAGAGGGAGCTGGAGAAGTCAGAGCAGAGGCCATTGCCTGATGTGGTGGGGCTGAGCCACCACCCCTCTGCCATGTGCTGTGGACAGTACCCAGCTCCTCTGAGGCAGCAGGGACACAGTGGGGCACAGGGGAGGTGCCTGGCACCCAGGTGAGGCGTGGCCCGAGGGACAGCAGGGGAGCACTCACCTGCTGGCATGGAGCCCTGGGCTGGCAGCACTCAGGATTCAGGACATTTCCCCGTTGCTGGAGGGCTCGTGCTGCATCCATTGATTGTTTCTCTGTGGTGTCCATGCTGAGGGTTTGATCTCATAACTATGCTCCTTAAAAGCAAAGTTTAGCTGTGACCCTCAGGATGTTTCAGAGCTTGGGACAGGCAAGGGAAGCCTCCTAGGCACTGAGCTGGGCTGTGATTCAGCACAGAAAGGACATTGACCTGTTGGAGTGAGTCCAGAGGAGGCACCAACCTGATCAGAGGGCTGGAGCACTTCTGCTGTGAGAGAACTGGGGTTGTTCAGCCTGGAGAAGAGAGCCTTCAGGGTGGCATAACTGCCCCTTCCAGTACCTGAATGGGCTACAAGAAAGATGGACAGAAACTATTTACAAGAGCATCAAGTGACAGGACAAGGGGACATGGCTTTACACTGACAGAGGGCAGGGTTAGATGGGATGTTAGGGAGAAGTTCTTCCCTGGGAGGGTGGGGAGGCCCTGGCACAGGTTACCCAGAGAAGTTGTGGCTGCCTCATCCCTGGGAATGTTCCAGACCAAGTTGGACAGGGCTTGGAGCAACCTGGGGTAGTGAAA